ACGCATATGAACATTTAATTGCCACTCACACAGATGAAGGAAAGCGTGCGTGCGTGCGTACGTCATTGTGTGCACCGTGTACATTTATTATACACGATTACACGTTTGCACATATCACACATACACACATTCGAATACACGTGTCACGTACATACACGGGTACACGTGAATCTTAAAACACGTATCCGGACAGCAGTTTGTTCAGTTCCTCGTCGTTACGGATGGCTAACTGCAAGTGGCGCGGGATTATCCTAGTTTTTTTGTTGTCCCTGGCTGCGTTTCCAGCCAACTCGAGCACTTCAGCCGCCAGATATTCCATGACGGCGGCGAGATAGACCGGCGCACCGGCGCCGACGCGCTCAGCGTAGTTGCCTTTCCTCAGAAGACGGTGAATCCTGCCCACGGGGAACTGCAGGCCGGCCCTGCTGCTGCGGGTCTTCGCCTTCCCCTTGGTCTTACCGCCTTTACCGCGTCCGGACATATTTCGCCGTTACGTCGAGCGCGTTTTCTTTTTCCTAGCGCGAGGGGAGAGCAGAGAGGGAGCGCGAGACGGTTAGGAAGATGCCGCACAGGATCGCACCGACACTGTAGCGTCAGATCTATACCTAAAATTTCAAAAAGTAATAAAAATGCACCGGTGACGGGTATGTCGGCGGCACGCCGATGTCAGCAGAAAAAATACACCGGTATTTAAATACTTACGTTTTCTAATGGAAGAACGGTGGCATCGGGTACGTCGACAGCGGGTCGTCGGCGGCGGGTAGTCGGCGGCGCGTACGTCGGCGGCGCGTACGTCGGCGGCGCGTACGTCGGCTGCACGTACGGTGTCGTCGGCTGCACGTACGGTGTCGTCGGCTGCACGTACGGTGTCGTCGGGTACGCCGGTGCCAGTGCCGCGTACGTCGGCGTTGGATATGCCGGCGTCGGCGGCAGGTACATCGGCATCGAATACGCCGGTTGCGGCGGCGGCGGCGGCGGCGGCGACGGCATCGGGTACGCCGGTGGCGGCGGCGGCCTCATCTTTTTCATCTGCTCTTTCATCATCTCTCGGCGAATGATCTCTTTCAGCCTCTGAAACATATAAAGTTATACGAAGGTTATAAAAGTAAATTTACGTATATTACAAGTATATTAAAAGTATATTCACGAATCGCACATTACGAATTGCGCGTAGTCCGGCGCTAGCTTAACACACTCACACGCCACACAAAGCATGCACATGTACATGTACATCCTGCACGCAATCATACATGCACTCCTTGTCTTATTTTTTACTTACTCTTTGGCTTTGGTACCGGGGCCTAGGCCCCCATGTGGACGCCGCCGCCGTCGCCGTCGTCCCTGGCGATGTCGACGTCGTCGCCGTCGTCCGTGGCAATGTCGACGTCGTTGCCGCCGTTGCCGCCGTTGCCGTCGTCGCCGTTGTTGTCGCCCTCGTTGTCGTCCTCGTCGCCGTCGACGTCGTTTGCGACGACGGCGACGTCGTGGGTGGCATCGTTCCCGATCGTCGGGAACCTACACTTTTAGCTGAAAATAAATTATTTGTAATCATTATAACATATACAGGGTGTACCGCAATTCGTGACCGAAATTTTAATAACGTATTTTTGAGCAAAAAGTAAGACGAAAATCCTAATACGAAAATGTCGAGGCTATAATACTTTTCAAATGGGAAGCATTTATAATAGACAAATCAGGTAGTCTAAAGTTCGCGCGTTCAGGGACGGTACATTGCACAGTGATAAAGGTACTCTTGCATCTTTGCCGATATACCTAAAAAAATTTAAGTAATTATATTACGTGTCTCGTTCTCAATGATAGTCTTGTAGTCTTGCTTGTCATGCCTTACATCACAACGTTTAGCGCATATTTAATTTGAATCTGGCGCCCTTCCGTCGCCTAGTTATTCCCGTTTAGTTCCC